ACTACCATCACCCCCATAAGACACTGCAGGAAAGCTGTAAAATATATATGAAATGCTATAAATTCTTGCTTTTAGGAATTACTGGGACATCACAGGTTTCCTAAAAGCAAAGATTGGAAATCTATGATTAATCGCATTAGTGAATTTCTTGTTAGGATGCACTATTCTTTAGAGTTTCTGTTCTGCTATTGGAAGGACAAAGGAGACAGATGACAGCCAGATGGCCCTCTGAGGGTCATACACCTTTAAGAAAAGTCGGCATATTCCCAGAGGAGGGAATAACGACTTGGTCTTTTAGACTCCAGTGAAACACTGATCCTCCGTCTGATGCAAGGTTCCTTTTTAAGGAGCAATTTATCTCTCATCTTCACTCATGCACCCACTTTTTTCTTGAATTTCAGGAGTAGAGAGCAGGTTGTGAAGCAGATTTTATTTATACATTTGGAAGGGATATACAGAAAGGGAACAAACATTTTGATTCACAAACTTTTACCCCGAAAATATCTAAAGTGTTTCCCTACCTTACATGTGCTGCTTTTTCTTGGGAAATTAAAACCAGCGGTATTTACCATGCGTAGGCAGGCATGTGAACACACGTCTAACCTCTTCAGAGTCTCTGGGACTGCGCCGTTTGCCCTCTTAAAGTAGATTAGCTGGAAAAAGAACTGTGCGTACGTCGTTGCCTGGATACAAAAAGCATCATTAGGCACAATTATCAGCCACTTCAACGTACAATAAACAAGCTTCGCCACTGATTTGAAAACAACACATCAGGTAGGACCACAGTGCATACAGAGCAGCAAGGAGGGGTGTGAAAAGAAGGCAAAGGGCAAAGGTCAAAACCGTGTAAAGATGTCAGAAATAAGACCTCTTGGTAAGAAATATGTGGGATACACTTTAAAAATATAGAAAAACCAATACAAGAAGATGTAAAATTTTGTTTGTCTGTACATTGACAGTGAATAATATGAAAATAATCTGGAGGGAAAAGAAACTGATGAAACAAAATAAGGATTGGCCCAGTTTGACTATGGGGAGCATTTGAAAAAGAAAATAAGAGTCTGGGCAATAGAAATTGATTGAAAAAAGAAACAAGGCACCCCAACTCATCCATCCTCATTATAGTGTGCGCCGGCCTGAAGCTACTTTGGGCTTCAAATTAAAGAGAGTAGAGTTCTTGTCAAATACGCAATCCAGAGAGAAAGAGATGAAAGGAACTGAAAAAAAGAAAGCTGAAATAAAACAGTTTGGGGACAGAGGGATTCAGCAAGTTTTCTTCCGCATGAAGATGGTAAGGCTCCCAAAAAAGTTCCATAATCCTCTATAAATGCAATCAAAAGGCTTCTTAATCCGACAATTATAGATGATATTTCTTCATATGCAAAGTTTAATTTTAAAGGGCCCAGTCGGATATTTTTTTTTTGCACCTCTTCTCGCCTTTGGTCTAAAACACAGGTTCCAGCAGCAGTCTCATTTGGTTGGAAAGAGGAGGCTGTGTCACAGATACTTACCTTATTGTTTCAGCTCCGCTCCATCATCCCACTCATTAAAACATGCAAATGTGTAAACAAGTTTTTTTTTCCTTTTTTGCTATGAAAAATAAATGTGTCTATTTAGTAAAAGCTTCCTTCTTTTTAGCCTTACATTAAATTCAGATTTCATAGTCACATAATGTCATCAACTAGAAAAAAATAAATGTTTTATTTGGGAACATTTAATACAGTCCAGGACTTGTCTGATGTAACAATGCTGCTTATGTGAAGGTGTCAATTGCAACCGACTGTAAAAATAGTTATAACAGCTTTAACTATCACATCTACATGTGGCTATAAGATCATCTTATAGACAGATCGGATGATAGTTTGGCATTCTTTAAAACTTGATCTGATTACAGCAAATCTGAGGCAGTAGCTCCTGTTCCACCACCTGTTGTGTGCTCAGCAGAAAAGGAAGGACGTCCAGACTCCTGTGGTTTTGTCTTGATAACCTTTAGTTTTCTGGATGTCCTACACTTAAAAACTCACATGGATGCTGCTAATTCAAATCTCAACTTTATTTTGGGTCATAAAAAATCCAGCGGTGATTTCTCATTGACTATTAGGGAGGCTAAACCTCCCCTGTAAATTTCGTACAATTATTGGTAAAATATGAATTGTCAAACCACATAAATGTAGTCATTAAACTGCATTAAATATGTAATGATTTTATGAGTATGATGCACATCAATCAGCTGTTGAGCCCGCTCGCATTGAAGAGATCTCCCCCTCCACTCTGGAGCAGCAGGATGCTACCTTTAGCCTCTATGAGAAATCGCTGTTGAGTTTTGAGCCTCGGTCTATTGAGGTAAGCAGCGAAAAAGTATAGCCCTGATTGGATAACATTCCAAAATATGTCACTTCCTGTGAGGCTAAACCTCTTCTGCAACTGCACACATTAAATGTCGCTTGGGTCTGGTTGCGATCCAGTTTTGCTGGTATGTTTCTGCACAGTCGGTTTGGAATTTCTAGGGACGCACAGCAGTTTCCCACCAAAGTGCAAGGAGAAGCCTATTTGAGAACTCGCCAGAACTTTGGCAGATGGTCACGAGAACTTCGGCGGCACCGACGGAAGTGTTTATTTTCCAAAACAACAATAGCGCGTCTGCAAGATATCATGGTCACAGAGATGGATCTAGAGTTGCTAGACAAGCATAATCTTCCTACACACAGCAAACCTTCTCAAAGGAACAAAATGTGATGAACAGAGATAGCCTGATCAAGTTTTATTTCTGGCTGGGGATGAGCTACACAGACATTCTGAGAAGTTTGATGTTTCAAAAAATTGTCATTAGTGAGATGCATTTGTTCCTTTGAAACAGTGTGCTGTGTGTAGGGAGATTATGCTTTAGTATTTTGCCAAGAAGTTACATTTTGTGGCCACAAATTATTATTTTATGCAAACAAATTAGTATTTTGTAGCAACAAATTAGTATTTTGTGGAAACAAAACATCTTTTCCTGGGAGCAAATTACTATTTCCTGGCCACAAATGTGCATGATGTATCTCTTTTTTCTCCTATGTCAGTTCTGGGGCTCCATATAAATCAGAACCTAATATTAGTTACCTACCTACTTACCCAGAGTTCTAAAGTTCTGATTATGCGTTTTTTCAAGGTGCCTCTCTCAACTCAGATGAGGATTTATGATAACAATTGGTAACAACTCCAGCAATCAGACAGTGGTAACCTTTCTAAAATGCATTTAGTGCTTTTTTCTATTTGCTACCTTTCCATTCTGCACATAAATATTGAAATTGCTCCATTAATGGAGGCCCACACATGCTGTTAATGCAGTTCAAACGGCTTCTGCAGAGCAAAAATATATTTTAACACTTTCGCCTAAATAGGAAGCAAGTGGCCAGGAATGATGGCAATAAGGGCCATGCTGAAAAATGAATAATGAAATGGAGAGAAAAAGAGAAAAGAAAAGGGAGGACATAGCTGACAGATAAGAACAAAGTAGGCGCACACACCACCACTGATGAAAAGTGTGTGCTGACCTTTTGCTTTCATTCTTGTCATGGTCATTTATTCCCTCCTTTGAAGTGACTCTCTCCTCACTGTCATAGATCAAGTCAAGACACAAGAGCACCGTGAACCAAATACAAATTACTCTCTCCATTTCTCAAGCCTCTCCTCATTCCAAGTAGTGATTTGTGATCCAACATTATGAGCTGTATTAATACACAGAGGAGGAAGGTTTGTGCTCAGTTGTCATTGTGAAAGCTGATTATGAGGCTTTAATTTCATCAGATAATGCCTTCATTTATGAGCACTGCTGGAGGCAAGAGGTCTGACAGGACTTTGGTAGGACTAGTGCTCCCCCTGCTGGTCATTTGACTATGAGGAAAGGTTGGTTCATAACTGAATAAGGATTTCTTCTTCCTAAAAATTAAGAAATATTAATTTTTGCTTGTACTGACAGTTCTGTCTCCCATACTAATTTTCATACTTAGCATAAAAACCTGATATAAAATACATTTTGACCATTTACAAAAAGATTTCCTTGAGATTATTGAATGGACTATTTCATAATAGTTTTTATATGGTGCCTTTTAAATGTTTTTCTTTTCATGTTGTGTCAGTGCAACCTGTGCAAAATCTGTAATATTTGTTGGTGTGTGATTAAAGTCATGGTGCTGCATATTGGCCATTTTAAAGGAACGAGAGATTAAAAAAAAAAATCTTGTAAAGATTAAAATGTAAAAACTCTAAAACTTTGCATATTAACAATATTTTATCATCCTTCTTATTAGTGTTACCTTAGTTAAACTGCGTGGGTCTGTGAGCTTACATTTTGAATCCTGAGGAGTAGTGGGGCAGTGGGGGTATCATAGAATATATAAACATATAAGTAATTTAAGTGAAATAACTTGCATTTAGCTTTTTCAAGCCTCCTGTTACACCGCGAAAGTTTCCTTTTGCCAGCTTAACAAAAAAATAAATAGTCAAAAGCTGATGTAAACAGAGAAAATGAGCTTCCTCAGACATTTGCTATGTTCCATTCACCAGATTTCTGTTTTTTCAACAAACTCTTAATTTTTCTAACAGCTTTTTAAACCGAGGGATTTCTCCCATATAGGGGAGATTTTTAGGGTGCAAAATTAAAGTTATGTTGTTATAATTGTTATAATTATATTAACCCTGATCCATGTGGCTTAAATAAGTGTTTTTATATAAATATATATATAAATACATGCTCCAAAATATGAATTGCAGGAGAAATCTAGAGTTATTGTCAAAATAAATAGACTGATTCGGAGGTTAGATGAGGATAGCTCCTTTGTCAGCAAATGTCTGTCATAGTAAAAAAAAAAAAAAAAAAGGGGTATATGGCATCTCCTTTGGACATAAGAAGTATCCTTGAGGTTGTTTAATAAATTGATGTTATAACTTTTGTGAGTTTCTGGATCTTAGTAATAAAACCCTTTTCTCCCTTTTTTTCCTCCATGTCAAAACGTCAGCCAGGATGTCAGGAATGGATGTCCTACTGGTAGAAAACAACAAGACTGGAGGAGCTCCGATAGATAACGGGACTTTTCTCCGTTTCTCCCCAACGTCTGCCTCCACATCCGCAGGCGCCTCCCCCCCAGGAGGTCGCCAGGGCAACGTCTATGTGTACGTGTGGCTCTTCCTGGGGCTGCTGGTGTTCCTGCTGACGCTGCTCATCATTTCCCTCCACAGGCTGAAGAACATCATATCCTCGTCTTCCTCAGTCCCCGACTGCAGCAGCGAGGGAGGGAGCTCCTTCACTAACATGGAGATCTGCAGCATCTCCTCTCAGAGGTCCACCATCTCCGCGCTCTCCACTTGAGGGAACTCATAGCTTACAGACTCATGTATAAACACCCTGTTTTCTCTTTACTGAGCGAGAATGCATGCTCAACAATGAGAAAAAGAAAACCTTTGCAAAATAAACTGATGGAATAATATTATCCTCCCATGCATGTATACTTTAATCCTGGCGGATCAGTGAATATGGTGTGTTTATGCACTGTATAGCCACATTGGAGGTTATAAAGGTCGAAAGCCAAAATATTCTGCTAAACTTGACTAACAACAAACGAACCAGATGAATGTTTTCCCTGTGCAGGGAAACGCAATGGCAATTATCCTTTTTGTCTTCAATCCTTTTTCTGTCATATTCACTTTAGCAGCTTTGTAAATCATTACTGATTATGTCTGTAGTTTGCATTGCAAATTTTAGCATTCTAAAATATTAAAGATCTCTACTTTGTAAAGAGATGAGTCCCTCAGCTGCATATATGTTCTTTATTTGAACAGAAAGGCTGTGTTGAAAACTGGTAGATAATCCCACAGAGTGTGCAGACAGCAGAATACACAGAGGAGAATGATAGCTGCAGAGTTTCTGATAGGAGCACAGCTGTAAAGAACAGGTCAAAAGCAGCACAAACTACAAGATGAAATCCCAGCCTTGATAGACAGGTCTGCAGACGTTACCTTCTCTTGCCTGTCAGCTCGCAGTGCCAGAGCCGGGTTTGCAACAAACCTGAAGTGTTGGTGGGGGGTAGATGGGGGGGCTGGTGGGGTTCTTTGAAGCTGTCAGGTCTTTTCTCTACGCCTGGATGACAACCTGGTAAAGGTCACTTCTCATGTTCAGCAAGTCGAGCAACAGTTTGGACAGTCTGGCAGAATTTAGGAGAAAAATTCAGGGTTCTAGTTGAGTGGAAGAAAGTAGACAGGCCTCAGAACTGGACTTAAAGCCGAGAGGTGGGGGGTTGACAAGTTTATAAAAAACAGACATGGCTCTGTCTGTCTTATGCCAAAACCAAGACATACATCTGTAAAAAGATATACAAATTTCAAATCTAATCTGTTATTTTGTAATAGCATAAATCTCACTCTGATAAAAAAAAAAAAAATCTTCATTATACATTCCATATTTTTTCAGTGAGGCACAAATCCCTAGTGAGACGATTATCACTGTATTACTTTGTACAACCCCTCTGCCAATAGAAGAGCCTTTGCTATTTCATGTAGTTTTCTAGCAGATTTGATCAGATTTTTAAGATAAAACAGCCTGATATGTCAAAGAGATCATAATGCGGTTTGACAGGACACCCAAGGGTGATGGAAGAGCAAACAGACGTACAGCTTCAAAGGTCTTCCACTCTACCAAACAGGGGTCATCAAGAGGTTCATTTCATCATTTTTTTAATAGGGTCCCCACAACGTAGAACACCTCCTAGCCCTATTTTATTTTATTACCTGAGAAATAAAATATATTCATTTACCTCTTGCAATGCACTCGCGGACCATAGGGGTCCAATTACC